AGAGAGAGAGAGAGGAGGGAGAGAGGAAGAGGAGAGAGAGGAGAGAGAGAGGAGAGGAGGAGAGGAGAGAGAGGAGAGAGGAGAGGAGAGGAGGAGAGAGGAGAGAGGAGAGAGGGAGGAGAGGAGGAGAGAGAGGAGAGAGGAGAGAGGAGAGAGGAGGAGAGAGAGAGGAGGAGGAGGAGAGGAGAGAGGAGGAGAGAGAGAGGAGGAGAGGAGAGGAGAGAGGAGAGAGGAGGAGGGAGAGAGAGGAGAGAGAGAGAGAGAGGGAGAGAGGAGAGAGGAGAGAAGAGGAGAGGAGAGGGAGAGGAGAGGAGGAGGAGAGGAGGAGAGAGGAGAGAGGAGAGAGGAGAGAGAGGAGGAGAGGAGAGGAGAGAAGAGAGAGAGAGAGGAGAGAGAGGGAGAGAGGAGAGAGAGGAGGAGAGAGGAGGAGAGAGAGAGAGAGAGGAGAGGAGGAGAGGAGAGAGGAGAGGAGGAGAGAGAGAAGGAGGAGGAGAGAAGGAGATGGGAGGAGAGAGGAGGAGAGAGAGAGAGAGAGGAGAGAGGAGAGGAGGAGAGAGGGGAGAGAGGAGGAGAGAGGCGAGGAGAGGAGGAGAGGAGGAGGAGAGAGGAGAGAGGAGAGGAGGAGAGGAGGAGAGAGGAGGAGGAGAGAGGAGAGAGGAGAGGAGAGAGAGAGAGAGAGGAGAGAGGAGGAGGAGAGAGGAGGAGGAGAGAGAGGAGAGGAGGAGGAGAGGAGGAGAGAGAGAGAGGAGAGGAGAGGAGAGAGAGGAGAGGAGGAGAGGAGGAGAGGAGAGAGAGAGGGAGGAGGAGAGAGGAGAGAGAGAGAGAGGAGGAGAGGAGAGAGAGAGAGGAGGAGAGAGAGAGAGAGAGGAGAGAGAGGGAGGAGGAGAGGAGAGAGAGGAGGAGAGGAGGAGGAGAGGAGAGAGAGAGGAGAGAGGAGAGAGAGGAGAGAGAGAGGAGAGAGGAGGAGAGAGAGAGAGAGAGAGAGGAGAGAGGAGGAGAGAGGAGAGAGAGAGAGGAGAGAGGAGTGAGAGAGAGAGGAGAGAGGAGAGGAGGAGAGGAGGAGGAGGAGAGGAGAGAGGAGAGGAGAGAGAGGAGAGAGAGAGGAGAGAGGAGAGAGAGGAGGAGAGAGGAGGAGGAGAGGAGGAGAGGAGGAGGAGAGGAGAGGAGAGGGAGAGAGGAGGAGGGAGAGGAGGAGAGGAGGAGAGGAGGGAGGAGGAGAGAGAGAGAGAGAGAGAGGAGAGGAGAGGAGGAGAGAGGAGAGAGAGAGGAGAGAGGAGAGAGAGGAGGAGGAGGAGGAGGAGGAGAGGAGGGAGGAGAGGAGAGGAGAGAGGAGAGGAGAGAGGAGAGGAGAGAGGAGGAGGAGAGGAGAGAGGAGAGAGGAGAGAGAGGAGAGAGGAGAGAGGAGAGGAGGAGGAGAGAGGAGGAGAGAGGAGAGAGAGAGGAGGAGGAGGAGGAGGAGAGGAGGAGAGGAGAGGAGAAGAGAGGAGAGAGGAGAGGGAGAGAGGGGAGAGGAGGAGAGAGGAGAGAGGAGAGGAGAGAGAGGGAGGAGGAGAGGAGGGAGAGGAGAGAGAGGAGAGGAGGAGAGAGGAGAGAGGAGGAGAGAGGAGAGAGGAAAGGAGGAGAGGAGGAGAGGAGGAGAGAGGAGAGAGGAGAGAGAGAGAGGAGAGAGGAGGAGAGGAAGAGGAGAGAGAGGAGGAGAGGAGAGAGGAGAGAGGAAAGGAGGAGAGGAGGAGAGAAAAGAGGAGAGAGGAAAGGAGGAGAGGAGAGAGGAGGAGAGAGAGAGGAGGAGGAGAGGAGGAGGAGAGAGGGAGAGGAGAGAGAGGAGGAGAGAGGAGAGAGAGAGAGAGAGAGAGAGAGAGAGAGAGGAGGAAGGGAGAGAGAGGAGGAGAGGAGAGGAGGAGAGGAGGAGAGAGGAGGAGAGGAGGAGAGAGGAGGAGAGGGGAGAGGAGAGGAGAGGAGAGAGGAGAGGAAGGAGGAGAGAGAGAGAGAGGAGGAGAGAGGAGGAGGAGGAGGAGAGAGGAGGAGAGAGGAGGAGAGAGGAGGAGAGGAGGAGAGAGGAGAGAGGAGGAGAGAGAGGAGGAGAGAGGAGGAGGAGAGAGAGAGGAGGAGAGGAGAGGAGGAGAGAGGAGGAGAGGAGGAGGAGGAGAGGAGGAGAGGAGGAGGAGAGGAGGAGGAGAGAGGAGGAGGAGAGAGGAGAGGAGGAGGAGAGAGGAGAGAGAGGAGGGAGGAGGAGGAGGAGAGAGGAGAGAGGAGGAGGAGAGGAGGAGGAGAGGAGGAGAGAGAGGAGGAGAGGAGGAGAGGAGGAGAGGAGAGGGAGGAGAGGGTCAGGTTCAAGTACAAATGAGATTTAAAATGTCTCTTGTTGGTCTCTCAGATCAGCCTCTAAAAATCCATATCGTTCAGGCTTTAGTTTTAAGGTTCTAGATGTTCTCAGATGTTCTCGATGTTCTAGATGTTCTAGATGTTCTAGATGTTCTCGATGTTCTAGATGTTCTAGATGTTCTAGATCAGGCATGTCCAAACTATGGCCCGGGGGCCAAATGTGGCCCTCAGACGAATTTTTGTTGGCCCTCAGGCTTCCAGGTGAATTGGCCCAAATTACTTTGTATCAATTAAAAATGAGCATTTTACTGCAAGTTTTTTGAAAATCTACCTTGATAAAGCGAATATTTAATATTTAGTGTTTAGTGTTTTTTAAGGATCTTTATAACGTGTTAAACATGCACACATTTCTATTATTGACTCTACGGCCCTCGATCGGCCTCTGCTCTGTCTGTGTTTTGAGATGTGGGGTGTTTGGACACCCCTGTTCTAGATGTTCTCGATGTTCTAGATGTTCTAGATGTTCTCGATGTTCTCGATGTTCTAGATGTTCTCATACCTTCCTGTGACGGGTTAGTTTTAGTTCTAGATGTTCTATATGTTCTAGATGTTCTCGATGTTCTCGTACCTTCCCTGTGACGGCCGACCACACTTTGAGCGTGTTGTCGTCAGATCCGGACACGATGAGGTCACCACTGAACTGCAGACACGTGATCACATGATCATCATGACCCTTCAACACCTGGAACAACAACGACGACGACACAGTTAACACACAGGAGGAGTTAAAGACGAGTGTGTGACTCTGTGGGGGGTTAAAGACGAGTGTGTGACTCTGTGGGGGGTTAAAGACGAGTGTGTGACTCTGTGGAGTGTTAAAGACGAGTGTGTGACTCTGTGGGAGTGTTAAAGACGAGTGTGTGACCCTGTGGGAGTTAAAGACGAGTGTGTGACTCTGTGGAGTGTTAAAGACGAGTGTGTGACTCTGTGGGGGTGTTAAAGACGAGTGTGTGACTCTGTGGGGGGTTAAAGACGAGTGTGTGACTCTGTGGAGTGTTAAAGACGAGTGTGTGACTCTGTGGAGTGTTAAAGACGAGTGTGTGACCCTGTGGGAGTTAAAGACGAGTGTGTGACCTGTGGGGGGTTAAAGACGAGTGTGTGACTCTGTGGAGTGTTAAAGACGAGTGTGTGACTCTGTGGAGTGTTAAAGACGAGTGTGTGACTCTGTGGAGTGTTAAAGACGAGTGTGTGACTCTGTGGGGGTTAAAGACGAGTGTGTGACTCTGTGGGGGGTTAAAGACGAGTGTGTGACTCGTTAAAGACGAGTGTGTGACTCTGTGGAGTGTTAAAGACGAGTGTGTGACTCTGTGGAGTGTTAAAGACGAGTGTGTGACTCTGTGGAGTGTTAAGACGAGTGTGTGACTCTGTGGGGTTAAAGACGAGTGTGTGACTCTGTGGGGTTCTGTGTGACTCTGTGGGGGGTTAAAGACGAGTGTGTGACTCTGTGGAGTGTTAAAGACGAGTGTGTGACTCTGTGGAGTGTTAAAGACGAGTGTGTGACTGTGGAGTGTTAAGGACTGTGTGAGTGGGGGGTTAAAGACGAGTGTGTGACTCTGGGGTTAAAGACGAGTGTGTGACTCTGTGGGGGGTTAAAGACGAGTGTGTGACCCTGTGGGAGTTAAAGACGAGTGTGTGACTCTGTGGAGTGTTAAAGACGAGTGTGTGACTCTGTGGGGGGTTAAAGACGAGTGTGTGACTCTGTGGAGTGTTAAAGACGAGTGTGTGACTCTGTGGAGTGTTAAAGACGAGTGTGTGACTCTGTGGGGGGTTAAAGACGAGTGTGTGACTCTGTGGGGTGTTAAAGACGAGTGTGTGACTCTGTGGAGTGTTAAAGACGAGTGTGTGACTCTGTGGAGTGTTAAAGACGAGTGTGTGACTCTGTGAGGGGTTAAAGACGAGTGTGTGACTCTGTGGGGGTTATAGACGAGTGTGTGACTCTGTGGAGTGTTAAAGACGAGTGTGTGACTCTGTGGAGTGTTAAGACGAGTGTGTGACTCTGTGGGGGGTTAAAGACGAGTGTGTGACTCTGTGGGGGGTTAAAGACGAGTGTGTGACTCTGTGGGGGGTTAAAGACGAGTGTGTGACTCTGTGGAGTGTTAAAGACGAGTGTGTGACTCTGTGGAGTGTTAAAGACGAGTGTGTGACTCTGTGGAGGGTGTTAAAGACGAGTGTGTGACTCTGTGGAGTGTTAAAGACGAGTGTGTGTGACTCTGTGGGGGTTAAAGACGAGTTGTGTGACTCTGTGGGGGTGTTAAAGACGAGTGTGTGACTCTGTGGGGGGTTAAAGACGAGTGTGTGACTCTGTGGAGTGTTAAAGACGAGTGTGTGACTCTGTGGAGTGTTAAAGACGAGTGTGTGACTCTGTGGAGTGTTAAAGACGAGTGTGTGACTCTGTGGGGTGTTAAAGACGAGTGTGTGACTCTGACTGTGGGGGTTAAAGACGAGTGTGTGACTCTGTGGGGGTGTTAAAGACGAGTGTGTGACTCTGTGGGGGTTAAAGACTGGAGTGTGTGACTCTCTGGTCCGACAGAGTGAATCCAATCAGAACCGACACAGTTAAACTCACTTTTTCATCGACCTCATGACAAACAGAGGAAACTGTTTGTGTGGAAAGTCTGATTTTATCAAGTGAAAAAAGTTCTTGTGAACGTCACACAGACGAGCAGAGCATCAGTGCACGTGAACACGAGAGGCCGGGCTCAGGCATTAACCTGGACGAATATTTTCAATTTGTTTTTTTCTCACAAAAACAAAAACCTCCAGACTCCACAGACTCCTGCACAATCACCTGTTTATCATTTTACATTTCAGTTGTTTTATCACACTGAAGTGTCCGAGTCTGAGCCTGAACATAACGTCTAAATATTTGTCCCAATCAGACACAACTCATCAGGTCCCGTGGGACTTGGGAGTGGGACTTGAGCGGGACTCGGGTGGGACTTGGGTGGGACTTGGGTGGGACTTGGGTGGGACTTGGGTGGACTTGGGTGGGACTTAAGCGGGACTTGGGTGGGACTTGGGTGGGACTTTGGGTGGGACTTGGGTTGGGACTTGAGCGGGACTCTGGGTGGGACTCAGGTGGGACTTGGGTGGGACTTGGGCGGGACTTCGGGCTGGACTCAGGTGGGACTTTGGTCGGGTTTCCAGGTCTATCACACACTTGTCTGGGGCATTAAGTGTAAAACGTCACACGTGTCGATCTCCATGTTCCTTTTATTGTTTTTAAAATGTTCTATTCACACAAAACAACTCACATGTTTTATCATTTTCACTGTCTCCCCTCCCTTTGCTCTCTGTGCTAAGTCCCTCCCCCTTCAGAGCAGCACACTAATCAAACTCCTGCACAAACATCAGGTTTGTCCAGTCGCTGTGTTCAGTTTTGTGTTTTTGTGTTTTTATGGAGAATTGTCGTGTGGGAGTGTGTGGGGGCGGAGCCTCGTACAGACTCATACTGCTGATAGGGCCTGGGAAAGATCACTAGATGACTCAAACATGGGTGAGTGTAGAAGCTGTTCAGGCAGGTTTGTGATGAGGAACAGCGTCAGAACATGAGAGAGTTTTTTTTGTGTGTTTGTACCATGGGCTCGCGCTCGTCTCCGCTCCTCCAGTTGCTCTCGATACGATGTTGGCGGATGTAGGCAGATTTCCACGGACTCACACACGCGCTCCTCCTGCGCGATGACGACACCTGCTCCGAGATCCCTGAGGACCAAAGCCAGAGTGTGAACCACTCGGACCTGAGACTCGGACTGAGACTCGGACCCTGAGACTCGGACTGAGACTCGACTGAGACTCTGAGACCTCTGAGACTCGACTGACTCAGACTCAGACTGACTGAGACTCGGACTGAGACTCGGACTGAGACTCGGACCCTTGAGACTCAGACCCTGAGACTCGGACTGAGACTCAGACCCTGAGACTCGGACTGAGACTCGGACCCTGAGACTCGGACTGAGACTCGGACTGACTGAGACTCGGACCCTGAGACTCGGACCCTGAGACTCGGACTGAGACTCGGACCCTGAGACTCGGACTCTGAGACTCGGACTGAGACTCGGACCCTGAGACTCGGACTGAGACTCGGACCGAGACTTGGACTCGCTCAGACCTTCAGGAGTTTAACAAAGTCTGGATCATTTCAGTCCAGAGGATCTGACACTGCTCCCTACGTTTACACACCGTCTGAACCACTTCTGTTTCAAATACACAACAAATCATCTAGTCCAGGATTAGTCCTGCTCTAGTCCTGCTCTAGTCCTGCTCTAGTCCTGCTCTAGTCCTGGTTTAGTCCTGGTTTAGTCCTGGTTTAGTCCTGGTTTAGTCCTGCTCTAGTCCTGCTCTAGACCTGCTCTAGTCCTGGTTTAGTTTAGTCCTGGTTTAGTCCTGGTTTAGTCCTGGTTTAGTCCTGGAAAGAGGGGAAGAGAGGGAGAGTGAAGGAGAAGAGAGAGTGAGAAAGAAGCAAGATAAAGAGGGAAGAGAGGAGAGAGAGGAGGAGAAGTCCTGGTTTCTAGGGACTCTGGAAAAAGTCCTGGTTAGGACCTGTTTAAGAGTCCTGACGTTTTAGTTCTGGTTTAGACCTGGTTTTTAGACCACCTGTTTACCCAGTCCTGTTTTAGAACCTTTAGGAAAACCGTCCATACAGTTTGTCAAAGCCTGATCCCGGACTCTAGACCTCAGGTCTGCTGGGCCTGGTCGTGGAGTCTGGGTCTGGGGTTCAACTGTCTGGGTCTGGTCTGGGTCTGGGTCTGGTCTGGTCTGGTCTGGGTCTGGACTTGGATGGGAAGACCACTGGAAAAATCAGGAGCCACAGGAGGCACCAGTCGTTAAAAAAACCTGGTGGTGGTTGGGAGTGACATGGTCAATAATGTTTATATCACCAGATTACGTGAGTGAAGGAGTGAAAGGTGAGAGACTTTTGAGTGAAGGTTAGTGACCTGGTTTGACTGGTTTAGTCCTGTTTAGCCTGGTTTAGTGTTTAACATATAAAGTCCTGGTTTAGTCCTGGTTCTTTAGTCCTGTTTAGTGTTAGATTAAGTCCTGGTTTAGTCCTGGTTTTAGACCTGGTTTAGTCCTGGTGAGTCCCCTGGTTTAGACCTGGTTTAGTCTGGTTGTCCTGGTTTACCTGGTTTAGTCCTGGTTTAGTTGTCCTGGTTTAGTTATCCTGTTTAGTCCTGGTTTAGTCCTGGTTTAGTCCTGGTTTAGTCCTGGTTTAGACCTGGTTTAGTCCTGGTTTAGTCCTGGTTTAGTCCTGGTTTAGACCTGGTTTAGTCCTGGTTTAGTCCTGGTTTAGTCCTGGTTTAGTCCTGGTTTAGTTTAGTCCTGTTTAGTGGTTTAGTCCTGAGTCCTGGTTTAGTCCTGGTTTAGTCCTGGTTTAGACCTGGTTTAGTCCTGGTTTAGTCCTGGTTTTTAGTTTAGTCCTGGTTTACCTGGTTTAGACCTGGTTTTAGACCTGTTTAGTCCTGTTTAGTTTAGTCCTGGTTTAGTCCTGGTTTAGTCCTGGTTTAGTAGACCTGGTTTAGTCCTGGTTTAGTCCTGGTTTAGTCCTGGTTTAGACCTGGTTTAGTCCTGGTTTAGAGTCCTGTTTAGTCCTGTTTAGTCCTGGTTTATCTCTGGTTTAGTCCTGGTTTAGTTTTAGAGTCCTGGTTTAGTCCTGGTTTAGTCCTGGTTTTACCTTGTTTAGTCCTGGTTTATCCTGGTTTAGACCTGGTTTAGACCTGGTTTAGTCCTGGTTTAGTCCTGATTTAGTCCTGGTTTAGTCCTGGTTTAGTCCTGGTTTAGTCCTGGTTTAAGTTTTTAGACCTGGTTTAGTTTACCTGGTTTAGTCCTGGTTTAGACCTGGTTTTTAGTCCTGGTTTAAGTTCCTGGTTTAGTCCTGGTTTAGTCCTGGTCCTGGTTTAGTCCTAGTCCTGTTTAGTCCTGGTTTAGTCCTGGTTTAGTCCTGGTTTAGAGTTCCTGGTTTAGTCCTGGTTTAGTCCTGGTTTAGTCCTGGTTTAGTCCTGGTTTAGACCTGGTTTAGTCCTGGTTTAGACCTGGTTTTAGTCCTGGTTAGTCCTGGTTTAGACCTGGTTTAGTCCTGGTTTAGTCCTGGTTTAGTCCTGGATTAGTCCTGGTTTAGACCTGGTTTAGTCCTGGTTTAGTCCTGGTTTAGTCCTGGTTTCAGTCCTGGTTTAGTCCTGGTTTAGTCCTGGTTTAGTCCTGGTTTAGTCCTGGTTTAGTCCTGGTTTAGTCCTGGTTTAAGTCCTGGTTTAGTCCTGGTTTAGACCTGGTTTAGTCCTGGTTTAGTCCTGGTTTAGACCTGGTTTAGTCCTGGTTTAGTCCTGGTTTAGACCTGGTTTAGACCTGGTTTAGTCCTGGTTTAGTTCTGGTTTAGTTCTCTAAAGAAGATGAAGATAAAGAGATGAAGTTCTCGTTGTGTTTCGTCTTGTGGAGGATCTGGGACCTTCTGTAAACTCAGGTCACTTCGGGTCAGTTTAAAAACTTCCACAGAAGTTTTTGAAATATTTTAAAAGTGTGTGACAGTTTTGTAAATAAATAAATAAATAAATAAATAAAAGTGTTGTGGTCGGGCACCTCTTTGGGCAGCAGCGAGATGAAGTCCCTCTGAAACTGAGGCTCGATCAGCTGCATCATGTGTTTGACCTGCGTCGTCTCACAGCGATCGATCAACTCGTCCAGAGCCAGAAGACGCTCAGGTCCACTCCAGGTCTGAGGAGAAACCAGAAAAAACACATGAAGAACAGCTCCAGGTCTGAGGAGAAACCAAAACACATGAAGATCAGCTCCAGGTCTGAGGAGAAACCAGAAAAACACATGAAGATCAGCTCCAGGTCTGAGGAGAAACCAAAAAACACATGAAGAACAGCTCCAAGTCTGAGGAGAAACCAGAAAAACACATGAAGATCAGCTCCAGGTCTGAGGAGAAACCCAAGAAAACACATGAAGATCAGCTCCAGGTCTGAGGAGAAACCAGAAAAACACATGAAGATCAGCTCCAGGTCTGAGGAGAAACCAGAAAAACACATGAAGAACAGCTCCAGGTCTGAGGAGAAACAAACACATGAAGAACAGCTCCAAGTCTGAGGAGAAACCAGAAAAACACATGAAGATCAGCTCCAGGTCTGAGGAGAAACCAAGAAAACACATGAAGATCAGCTCCAGGTCTGAGGAGAAACCAGAAAAACACATGAAGATCAGCTCCAGGTCTGAGGAGAAACCAGAAAAACACATGAAGATCAGCTCCAGGTCTGAGGAGAAACCAGAAACACATGAAGATCAGCTCCAGGTCTGAGGAGAAACAAAAAACACATGAAGATCAGCTCCAGGTCTGAGGAGAAACCAGAAAAACACATGAAGAACAGCTCCAGGTCTGAGGAGAAACCAAGAAAACACATGAAGATCAGCTCCAGGTCTGAGGAGAAACCAGAAAAACACATGAAGATCAGCTCCAGGTCTGAGGAGAAACCAAGAAAACACATGAAGAACAGCTCCAGGTCTGAGGAGAAACCAAGAAAACACATGAAGATCAGCTCCAGGTCTGAGGAGAAACCAGAAAAACACACATGAAGATCAGCTCCAGGTCTGAGGAGAAACCAGAAAAACACATGAAGATCAGCTCCAGGTCTGAGGAGAAACCAGAAAAACACATGAAGATCAGCTCCAGGTCTGAGGAGAAACCCAGAAAAACACATGAAGAACAGCTCCAGGTCTGAGGAGAAACCAGAAAAAACACTCCATGAAGAACACTCCAGGTCTGAGGAGAAACCAAAAACACATGAAGAACAGCTCCAGGTCTGAGGAGAAACCAGAAAAACACATGAAGAACAGCTCCAGGTCTGAGGAGAAACCAGAAAAAAACACATGAAGAACAGCTCCAGGTCTGAGGAGAAACCAAGAAAAACACATGAAGAACAGCTCCAGGTCTGAGGAGAAACCAAAAAAAACAGATGAAGAACAGCTCCAGGTCTGAGGAGAAACCAAAGAAAACACATGAAGAACAGCTCCAGGTCTGAGGAGAAACCAGAAAACACATGAAGATCAGCTCCAGGTCTGAGGAGAAACCAGAAAAAACACATGAAGATCAGCTCCAGGTCTGAGGAGAAACCAAGAAAACACATGAAGAACAGCTCCAGGTCTGAGGAGAAACCAAAAACACATGAAGATCAGCTCCAGGTCTGAGGAGAAACCAAGAAAACACATGAAGATCAGCTCCAGGTCTGAGGAGAAACCAAAAAAACACATGAAGAACAGCTCCAAGTCTGAGGAGAAACCAAAAAAACACATGAAGAACAGCTCCAGGTCTGAGGAGAAACCAGAAAAAACACATGAAGATCAGCTCCAAGTCTGAGGAGAAACCAGAAAAACACATGAAGATCAGCTCCAGGTCTGAGGAGAAACCAGAAAAACACATGAAGATCAGCTCCAGGTCTGAGGAGAAACCAAGAAAACACATGAAGATCAGCTCCAGGTCTGAGGAGAAACCAAGAAAACACATGAAGATCAGCTCCAGGTCTGAGGAGAAACAAAAAACACATGAAGATCAGCTCCAAGTCTGAGGAGAAACCAAAAAAAACACATGAAGAACAGCTCCAGGTCTGAGGAGAAACCAGAAAAAACACATGAAGATCAGCTCCAAGTCTGAGGAGAAACCAGAAAAACACATGAAGATCAGCTCCAGGTCTGAGGAGAAACCAGAAAAACACATGAAGAACAGCTCCAGGTCTGAGGAGAAACCAAAAAACACATGAAGATCAGCTCCAGGTCTGAGGAGAAACAAAAAACACATGAAGATCAGCTCCAGGTCTGAGGAGAAACCAAAAAATAAAGAACTCTCCACAAATCCAAGTGTCACTTTCCTACTTTTTTCCATGGAGATGTTGTTGTTTTGTCTGGAATGTTCCGCAGTATGACTTTAAACCTTTCTATCTCCACGGAGACCAAACCAGACAGCGTTCCGGGTCAGATCTGTGGAGAGGCGGTGGAGAGGTCTGGTTTTTTTCGAGGTGTTTTTGACTCTAAAACCACCTGAAACTGAACAAATGTGAAGTGGAGGTGTTTAAAGTCGCACTGCGGAACATCTCAGACAGATCAGTGTGGGACCCTCCTCCTCGGTGAGGTGTTCTGACCTGGAAGGCGCGCAGCCACTCGGCGAGTCCGGCGGGGGGCGGGCCCGAGGTCACGCGCCGCCTCTGAGCCGAGTGCCCATTGGCCACGCGCAGCTCCCCGAACGTGGTGGGCGTGGCCGGAGCCAGACTCGACGGACTGACGAGAGACACAGAGGAAAAACGGGTCACACGGGTCACTCGGGTCACTCGGGTCACGCGTCGTCGTTCAAAACACTCTGTTCCACCTCGTGATGTCATCATGTGGTGATACAGGAAGTGCTCCAGTGTGTTTTTAAAGTCCACACTTCACCTTCACAAGAATCTTTTTGGTTTGTTTTCCGATTCCAGTCCTGGTTTAGTCCTGTTTAGACCTGGTTTAGTCCTGGTTTAGTCCTGGTTTAGTCCTGGTTTAGTCCTGGTTTAGACCTGGTTTAGTCCTGGGTTTAGTCCTGGTTTAAGTTTCCTGGTTTAGACCTGGTTTAGTCCTGGTTTAGCCCTGGTTTAGTCTCACTTTAGTCCTGCTTTAGTCCTGGTTTAGTCCCGGTTTAGTCCCGGTTTAGTCCCGGTTTAGTCCTGCTTTAGTCTCACTTCAGTCTCGCTTTAGTCCTGTTTTAGACCTGGTTTAGTCTTAGTTTAGTCCTGGTTTAGTCCTGGTTTAGTCCTGTTTTAGTCTTAGTTTAGTCTTAGTTTAGTCCTGGTTTAGTCCTGGTTTAGTCCTGGTTTAGTCTTAGTTTAGTCCTGGTTTAGTCCTAGTTTAGTCCTAGTTTAGTCCTGGTTTAGTCCTGGTTTAGTCCTGGTTTAGTCCTGGTTTAGTCTTAGTTTAGTCCTGGTTTAGTCCTGGTTTAGTCCTAGTTTAGTCTTAGTTTTAGTCCTGGTTTAGTCCTGTTTGTTTCTGTCTGGTTCTGTGTTTCTTATCGTGGTGTTAAAGTTTTACCTGAGGAACCCGTTTCCTTTACAGTGTTTCTTCCCTGTGGGAAACGGTCGACCGTCAGGACCATGGTCCAGTTTCCTCTTCATCTGTTCAGACAAAAAAACTACACAACTCACTATAAGATAAATAATAAACACAAATAAACACAAACAAATAAACACAAACACAGATAAACACAGATACAGGACGCAGCAGCTGGAGGAAGGATTTAAACTCAAAACAAAACGACAACAGAAACGTCAGAGGATCAAAAACTACAGCTGCAAATCAATAAAATATTTAAAATCAATTAATGTCACAAATGTCACAGTGAACTCACGATTAATCGCACAACAAACAACAACAACAAACAACGACAAACAAACAACGACAAACAACAAACAATGACGACAAACAACAAACAGCTATGACATGTCTACTACACACACAATAAACAACTGAGACAAACAACAACAAACAACAACAACATGCGCATAACAAACAACAAACAACTACCTCAAAAAACTACAACAACATGTCCACTACACATAACAAACAACAACAAACAACGACGACAAACAACTACAACAAACTACGACAAACTACAACAACTACAACAAACAACAACATGTCCACTACACACAATAAACAACTACAACAAAAAACTACAAAAAACAACGACAAACAAACACAACAACTATTAATTACTACATCGACGAACAACAACAGCAAACAACGACAAAGAACTATGACAAAAAACTATGACATGTCCACTACACACAACTACCACAAAAAACTACCACAAACAACGACAACATGTAGATTACACACAACAAACAACTACAACAAGAACTACAACAAACAGCAACAACGACAAACAACTACAACATGTCCACACACAACAACAACAACTACAACAAACAACAACTACAACAACTACAACAAACAACTACAACAACATGTCCACTACACACAACAACTACAACAAACAACTACAACATGTCCACTACAACACAACAACACAACAAACAAACAAAACAACTAACAACATGTCCACTACACACAACAAACAACTACAACAACATGTCCACTACACACAACAAACAACTACAACAACAACATGTCCACTACACACAACAAACAACTACAACAACAACATGTCCACTACACACAACAAACAACTACAACAACTACAACATGTCCACTACACACAACAAACAACTACAACAACATGTCCACACACACAACAACTAAACAACAACAACATGTCCACTACACACAACAAACAACTACAACAAGAACTACAACAAACAATGACGACAAACAACGACAAACAAAAACATGCCCACTACACACAACAACAAACAAAAAACTACAACATGTCCACTACACACAACAAACAACTACAACAAGAACTACAACAAACAGCAACAACGACAAACAACTACAACAACAACATGTCCACTACACACAACAAACAACTACAACAAACAACAAACAACTACAACATGTCCACTACACACAACAAACAACTACAACAACAACATGTCCACTACACACAACAAACAACTACAACAAACAACAACAAACAACTACAACAACAAACTACAAAAGTCAACAATGACAAATATCTACAATTAACAATTACAACAACTACAACAAACAACAACGACAAACAACAAACAACTACGACAAACAACAATGACAAAGAACTACGACAAACAGCTATGACATGGCCACTACACACAATAAACAACTACCACAAAAAACTACGACAAACAACGACAACATGTAGATTACACACAACAAACAACAACAACAAATAACAATGACAAACAACTACGACAAACATCTTGGACATGTCGTTCATGTGCTTCTCGTGGTCCAGGATGTGGACCTGGTGAACATCAGAGCACAAACCCAACGCTCAGAGAAGAATCAAAACACTGATACAAACTGATACCAAAACTACAATCAAAACTACAATCAAAACTACAATCAAAACTACAACCAAAACTACAATCAAAACTACAATCAAAACTAGAACCAAAACTACAACCAAAACTACAAACAAAACTACAATCAAAACTACAATCAAAACTAGAACCAAAACTACAACCAAAACTACAATCAAAACTACAATCAAAAGTACAATCAAAACTAGAACCAAAACTAGAACCAAAACTACAACCAAAACTACAAACAAAACTACAATCAAAACTACAATCAAAACTAGATCCTCGTTTTTCACAAGTTTCGACACTAAAATAGAAATCACACTGACAGAACATTTAAACCAGGACCAAACCAGGTCTAAACCAGGACTAAACCAGGTCTAAACCAGGACTGAACCAGGACTAAACCAGGTCTAGAACAGGTTTAAACCAGGACTAATCAGAATTTCTGTATTTCAGACGACATTAGTTTTTTTTCTATAACGACTTTCAAGACTCTCAAAGACTCGTCACACTTTCTTCTTCTGGTTAAACTCCTACTGTAGCCACAGCTGCCCTGAGACAGACTGACAGAAGTGCAGCTCACACACACACACACACACACACACACACAGACACACACACACACACACACACACACACACACACACAC